ATTACATGAAAAAGTCCAAAAAATGACAAAAAGTCAAAATTATGAAAAAAGTCAAAATTATGAAAAAAGTCAAAATTATGAAAAAAGGTCAAAATTATGAAAAAAGTCAAAAATGACAAAAAGTCAAAATTATGAAAAAAAAGTCAAAAATGACAAAAAGTCAAAATTATTGCAGACATACCAAGTTGAAATTATATGAAAATGCCTAAAAAATGCCAAAAAGTCAACATGATGCCAGATACTGAGTTGAAACTGGCGAAAGTCAAGTGTGTAATGTAAAAACCAATATATTAACGTGTGTATCAGGAGTAAGAGTAGAAAGCCTCTCTCCAGCTCTTCAACAGATCGACTCTTGCTGACACATAAAGCCACTGCAGTTATGACTCCTCTTCCCACCTCACTGGGACCAACCACAGAAAACTCTGCCTGGAAGCTGATTTCAGCGCTGTACGAGAATGGCCCAGTTTTACTACACTTCTGTTCAGCTGTGTCCAGCTTTCATCAGCTCTGGTCCAGTGGGTTCAACAGCACATCTTTCTGCTCAGCTCTGTTCAACACTGGGCTGGTTCTAACACACGTGCTCGGATGTCTGGGAGATTCTGACGCTGGACTTCAGCCGCCGGTCCATGGGACCTCAACGGGACTCCTCAGCCAAGCTGTACATACAGTATGAATGCTGTATAATGGCTGGATATGCTGAACTGAGGGCATATTGGGAACTATTCTGGATCATTGGCACATAAGTCTGTGTAATGTCAAACCAGTTTTCAAACCATACAATTCACAAATAAAAAAATTTAAACCAGACGTTGATTTGCAATTTTTTCCCTGTATACTTCATCAATAGATAGTTTGGTTAAATTATGACTTTACAAACAACCTATTGAATGGATGAAATCTATCCAGTCTAAAGTAATGACATGAAAAAGTCAAAAAATGACGAAAAGTAAAAATTATGACAGAAATACCAAGTTGAAATTACATGAAAAAGTCCAAAAAATGACAAAAAGTCTAAATTATGACAGACATACCAAGTTGAAATTACATGAAAAAGTCCAAAAAATGACAAAAAGTCTAAATTATGACAGACATACCGAGTTGAAATTACATGAAAAAGTCAAAAAATGACAAAAAGTAAAAATTATGACAGACATAGTAAGTTGAAATTACATGAAAAAGTCCAAAAAATGACAAAAAGTCAAAATTATGAAAAAAGTCAAAATTATGAAAAAAGTCAAAATTATGAAAAAAGGTCAAAATTATGAAAAAAGTCAAAATTATGAAAAAAGTCAAAATTATGCAAAAAGTCAAAAATGACAAAAAGTCAAAATTATGAAAAAAGTCAAAAATGACAAAAAGTCAAAATTATGAAAAAAAAGTCAAAAATGACAAAAAGTCAAAATTATTGCAGACATACCAAGTTGAAATTATATGAAAATGCCTAAAAAATGCCAAAAAGTCAACATGATGCCAGATACTGAGTTGAAACTGGCGAAAGTCAAGTGTGTAATGTAAAAACCAATATATTAACGTGTGTATCAGGAGTAAGAGTAGAAAGCCTCTCTCCAGCTCTTCAACAGATCGACTCTTGCTGACACATAAAGCCACTGCAGTTATGACTCCTCTTCCCACCTCACTGGGACCAACCACAGAAAACTCTGCCTGGAAGCTGATTTCAGCGCTGTACGAGAATGGCCCAGTTTTACTACACTTCTGTTCAGCTGTGTCCAGCTTTCATCAGCTCTGGTCCAGTGGGTTCAACAGCACATCTTTCTGCTCAGCTCTGTTCAACACTGGGCTGGTTCTAACACACGTGCTCGGATGTCTGGGAGATTCTGACGCTGGACTTCAGCCGCCGGTCCATGGGACCTCAACGGGACTCCTCAGCCAAGCTGTACATACAGTATGAATGCTGTATAATGGCTGGATATGCTGAACTGAGGGCATATTGGGAACTATTCTGGATCATTGGCACATAAGTCTGTGTAATGTCAAACCAGTTTTCAAACCATACAATTCACAAATAAAAAAATTTAAACCAGACGTTGATTTGCAATTTTTTCCCTGTATACTTCATCAATAGATAGTTTGGTTAAATTATGACTTTACAAACAACCTATTGAATGGATGAAATCTATCCAGTCTAAAGTAATGACATGAAAAAGTCAAAAAATGACAAAAAGTCTAAATTATGACAGACATACCAAGTTGAAATTACATGAAAAAGTCCAAAAAATGACAAAAAGTCTAAATTATGACAGACATACCGAGTTGAAATTACATGAAAAAGTCAAAAAATGACAAAAAGTAAAAATTATGACAGACATAGTAAGTTGAAATTACATGAAAAAGTCCAAAAAATGACAAAAAGTCAAAATTATGAAAAAAGTCAAAATTATGAAAAAAGTCAAAATTATGAAAAAAGGTCAAAATTATGAAAAAAGTCAAAATTATGAAAAAAGTCAAAATTATGCAAAAAGTCAAAAATGACAAAAAGTCAAAATTATGAAAAAAGTCAAAAATGACAAAAAGTCAAAATTATGAAAAAAAAGTCAAAAATGACAAAAAGTCAAAATTATTGCAGACATACCAAGTTGAAATTATATGAAAATGCCTAAAAAATGCCAAAAAGTCAACATGATGCCAGATACTGAGTTGAAACTGGCGAAAGTCAAGTGTGTAATGTAAAAACCAATATATTAACGTGTGTATCAGGAGTAAGAGTAGAAAGCCTCTCTCCAGCTCTTCAACAGATCGACTCTTGCTGACACATAAAGCCACTGCAGTTATGACTCCTCTTCCCACCTCACTGGGACCAACCACAGAAAACTCTGCCTGGAAGCTGATTTCAGCGCTGTACGAGAATGGCCCAGTTTTACTACACTTCTGTTCAGCTGTGTCCAGCTTTCATCAGCTCTGGTCCAGTGGGTTCAACAGCACATCTTTCTGCTCAGCTCTGTTCAACACTGGGCTGGTTCTAACACACGTGCTCGGATGTCTGGGAGATTCTGACGCTGGACTTCAGCCGCCGGTCCATGGGACCTCAACGGGACTCCTCAGCCAAGCTGTACATACAGTATGAATGCTGTATAATGGCTGGATATGCTGAACTGAGGGCATATTGGGAACTATTCTGGATCATTGGCACATAAGTCTGTGTAATGCTTCACAAATCAGTTTTCAAACCAAACAATGCAAATAAGAAATAATAAAAAATTGAAACTAGACAGTTGTTTTTTCCTTTTTTTTCAGTATACTTAATCAATAGATAGTTATTTCTTTATGACTTTAGAAACAATCATTTGATAAATAAAATCATTTTGTTTGAAATTATGATATGAAAAAGTCCGTAAATGACAGTCAAAATTATGACAGACCAAGTTGATATTATGACATGAAGAAATTCAGAAAATGACAGTCAAATTTATGACAAAAAGTCAAAATTATGAGACATAACAAGTTGAAATAATAATATGAAAAAGTAAAAAAATTAAAAATAGTAAAAAATGGCAGTCAAAATTGACAAAAAGTCAAAAATATGACATGCATACCAAGTTTAAATTCTGATATGTAAAAGTCCAAAATATATAAGTCAAAATTATGACAAAAATTTAAAATTAGGACAGACATGCTTAATTGAAATTATGACATGAAAAAGTTCAAAAACATTACAGTCAAAATTATGACAGACATACAAAGTTGAAATTATGATATGAAAGAGTCCTTTTTCATATCATAATTTTGACTTTTTGATATCATAATTTTAACTTAATATGTCTTTCATAATTTTGACTTTTTATCATCATCACTGGTCATCATCATCACTATCATCATCATCATCATGCTATGGTAAAGTGTAATTATGACATTAATAGAAAAAGTACAAAATATGACATACGGTAATTATGAATGATGACATACTAATAATGACATTTTCATAATAAGAAAATGAAACAATGACATAAAAAGGCGAAATTTTGACACAAGAAAAAACAAAATGATGATATAAAGTCAACTTCATGACATACTAAGTCCACGAAAGTCCATTAATACACGAGAAGGTCGAAATCATGACTTTGTATGTCATACTTTCCATTTTTTATGTCATAATTATGATTCGCAAAAGCACGATTTCTTTCTTATGTTGCAGAAATGGGATGCAACAGATCCCAGACTTACAGTGTCACAAATAAAACCACTAACTTAATCATTTTAATATTGACGAATTCATAAAGTTATTGAACGACTGACCTGTTTGTGGACTGGATCCTGCTAGTGAATCAACAGACTGTCAATCAGTCAGTAAATCAGCTGAGACCAGTGATGATCGGCACCCACAGACACTAACTTTAACGTAATCTATTCATAAATTAAACACATTTAACATTGATATGCTGGAACAGCTTGCAGTTAATCTGATCACGATAAAACGCAACTTCCGGTCATTCGCTTGTTGTGCTTCGTTTGTATTTTCAGAATAAAAGTCCTCATGAACCCGCATAAAGCCAACGCAGAATTGAAGAACTGTTTCAGATATTTGTTTTTCATTTCAAAACAAAATACCAAATATTAACAATTTAACCCAGATCTGCTGAAGAGATGCTAAAACCCCAGTACAGATGAACTATTTAACAAAAAAAACTATTTAATGCGGAGATTTGTATTATTTAATACCAGCTAATACCAATCGTTCTAAAAAAAATCCTACAGTCTTGTAAAACTGTAAAAAGCGTCCGTTGTTATTATTAATATTATTGTTAATGTCACTATATTTTACTAGAATTGTACTTATAACACTATGAAATAAATGTAAAAAAAAAGGATTTCATAATTGTTTTTTTAATGACAAATATTCATTTATAATGATGATGATATTACTTTTTTATAGAAAAATAAATTGATACTTTAATTTCAATTTCTATAAAATAAATGTAATAGATTTAATAAATCCTTTTTTTTACGAAAAGTCTACCCCGGACGTTTCTCCGCCGTGAACAGGAAGTGAAGTCACCGCCACAGAAGCGTAGGGATTGTGTGAGTTAGCTCGAGTTAATGCGACTTTATTGATTAAAGTTCGTTTATTAAAGTGATTTTATCCATCACGGATAATGTATTAAAGCGTTATTTACAGTTCAGAAGTGACGTGGTGTCACCAGAAGCAGCGGTGCGCGCTCACGACGCCTATCGTCAAGATACAGGTTCGTGTTTCTGACTTATATTTTTCATCTTATCTTCAAAAACAGTTTACATTTTGGATTTGTAACCAAAGTAATACTATAGTATTCTTACCATGTACTGTGACTACTATATAAACATTACATGAATATGGTATTATTCAGTAACTTAGTAGTTTACTGTGAGACTGTGTGTGTCTTTCATATTGTTCACTGCAAGTGTCATTAGCTTTTAGTAGCTAGTTGAAGTTTTTTTATGCTTTATTTATTTGTTTATTTATCTATCAGTTTACTTTAATAGTATAATAAATGTATAATAAATATTTTTATATTTAACTATTAGTATTATTATGCAAAACATTTGCACAACGTTTCCAGTGTGTCTGATTTATACATTTTAGTGTGTGTTTGAGAGAGTGTGTTTGTGAGAGTAAGTGAGTGTGTGTGTGTTTGAGAGAGTGTGTTTGTGAGAGAGAGAGAGAGAGAGAGAGAGAGAGAGAGAGAGAGTGTGTGTGTTGAGAGAGAGTGAGTCCGTGTGTGTGGGTGTGGATGTAGGGGGACAATTATTTACCTCACTCTTTTTTTTCCTGTTTTCTCCACAGATTCAAAACATGGTCTGGACGTGATTGTTGTGTCACTCGTTTCTGGATGGACTTAAAATCTCCCGAATGCTAATTTACCAAAAAGGACGTTCAGCAAATGTTAAAATGACTCCCATCTGACGTCCGTTAGCCTCTCACTAGTCAACGAAAGACTAAAAACAGAAAGGCATCATGTCTCTGCCTGAGGAAGCAGGGGATCGTGGGAAAGAGCGAGAGCGCGGAGCCCGTCCGAAAGTGCGTCAGAGCCGCTCTGAGGAGAGAAGAGACGGCGGGAGGAGAAAATCCGGGAGAGGGAAGAAGAAAAGCCACCCGTCGCACGACCTGACGTCCGACCGGCCTGTTAGCGACGGCTTCGAGTACGGCGATCTCCTGAACGAGTCCAGCGAGGGCGGCTCGTCCTCTCCGGTGCGGGAGCACAGAAGACGGCAAGTTCTGGGATCGTCCGGATCCCTGTTACCCGAGAGGGTTTCCGCTAAGCTATCGCTCGGTTCGCCTGATCTCAGCAGCGACTCGGACAGCAAGTCAGGAAGCAGTCGGACTCTCCGACAGAAGATCCAAGACGCGGTTGGCCAGTGTTTTCCCATCAAAACCCACACTCAAGTCCTATCGCACTCGCCTTCCTCGCGCCGCAAGATCCACATTAGCGAGCTAATGCTGGACAGCTGCCCGTTTCCCGCCGGATCTGATTTGGCTCAAAAGTGGTACCTTATTAAACAGCACACGGCTCCTATTTCCCAGGCGCCCGTTTTGGATTCCGTCGCTCCTGTTACGTTGGTGACGCCGGTCGAGGACGAGGATGATCGCTTACGGGAGCGACGACGGATTAGCATCGAGCAGGGAGTAGAACCGCCTCCAAACGCACAAATCCACACTTTCGAGGTAACAGCACAGATCAATCCTCTATACAAACTCGGACCTAAGCTAGCTCACGGGATGAACGAGCTAGCCGGAGACGAGCGCGCCACACTCCACCAGCTTCTCCTGCAAAGTTGTTTGGACACATTGGATGAGGTCGCGGCGTCAACCGCGGCATCTGATTTCGACTTGGGCGCCGCGGCGTCACCATCATCCCAAGTCCAACCGGACTCTCCCAACTCGCAGGATATACAACATCGTATTCACACTCAAATCGACTACATCCACTGCTTAGTCCCGGATTTGCTTCAGATCACAAACCTTCCCTGCTACTGGGGCGTCATGGATCGATACCAAGCGGAGAATCTTCTGGAAGCCAAACCCGAAGGCACCTTCCTGCTACGCGACTCTGCACAGGAAGACTATCTCTTCTCCGTTAGCTTCCGACGCTACGGCCGCTCGCTACATGCGCGAATCGAGCAGTGGAACCACAACTTTAGCTTCGACGTGCACGACCCTAGCGTCTTCCACGCGACCACCGTCACCGGCCTCCTCGAGCACTACAAGGATCCCAACTCCTGCATGTTCTTCGAGCCGCTGCTCTCGAACCCCATCAACCGGACACAGCCCTTTAGCCTGCAGCACATCTGCCGCGCCGCCATTAGCAGCTGCACCACGTACGACGGCATCAATGCACTGCCCCTTCCCAACGCGCTCAAAGAGCACCTGAAGGAGTACCATTACAAGCAGCGCGTGCGCATTCGCAGACTGGACACGTGGTGGGAGTGACGTAGCGAACTGTCTCAGGTTACGGAGGCGGGAAACAAGACCAGAAGTGCCACTACTCCGCGTTCCACGACAACTTCGCCGGTTCTTATCGCTGCACTCTTAACTAGCGCTGCACAATTAATCGCAATTTACATGAAATCGCACTTCTGTCAGGACCACTATCGACAAATACGATTGACAATTAGCATACAGTTTGGATTGGCGGTATGGTTCTGTTCTAGACAAGAACTCCCTGCGCATCCATGTAGCCTAGCATGAGTAAGAGCAGCAATAACCCCCCTTAGGGTAAACGGAACAGAACCAACATGAATGAATTGCAGATTAATTAATTAATTAATAAAGATTCTTAATGTATAACATAATTGACCATTTAGTCTGATTCAAAGGGGAATCAGAATGCCAAATCCTGACTGACGAGGGGAGGAGCTGGGGAGGGAGGAGGGTAATCACTCCTGAGAAACCCAATAGCTGCTGATAATACTGAAGGAGCTTATATGTGAATACAGTGATAGGGGTTGTGTTCCTATAGGTAGACGTGGATCAGCTAAGAGTCACTGATGTGAGCTTGACTAACGTGACATGCCAGAACTGATGCTACGCTTGATTTAAACCGATTTGGCTTATCACGATTATAAAATCGCAAAGGCTGTGATTGTTTGTTATGTGCAGCTTGTCAGTAAAGCACGGCTCTGTAAACGCGGCTCCGTCTGAAAGCACTGCGAGTTTGAGTCGCTTATAACGTGCGTTTGAAAAAGCAACACGTACGCGTCAAACATCTTTCCAAACATGAGAAGCATTTATGAAGCTCCTGTCCAACGAAAGACATTTAATAACATGCTTTTACTCCAAACTCACTTCATAAGGAGAGTTGAGCTCATCCTTCTGTGAGATGATGTGCTTTTTACACGGAATAAGGCAGTCGTGTGTTTATTAGTCATGTTTAATCAAAGCGTTTCAATCTTCTGATTATTCAGCTACAGCGATAGGGATGTGTGTTCAGCTACAGCGCCCTCTGGTGTTCAGATGGAGCAGCGTTTCCTACCGATCAGCCGCTGCACTGACAATCTGCACATAACATAATCGCAGCCTTTGCCAAATCGCGTGCGTTTGCTCTGCGATTAATCGTGCAGCGCTACTCTCAAGTCTAGAGGACTGGTGTGAAGACGTGAGTGCCTTTCTGATGCTACTAATTTTTTGAGGTTTGAAATGCTGTTAGCTTATTGTCATGATGTTGGCGTGCTGCCGTCACAGGGTTCACTGCATCAGCACTGGAGCGATTAACTAAGTAACACTGCACTGAATCTGCAAACTATTGTTATTTTAGAAGATTTCTCCTTTTTATCAAGACAAGTGTCCCTTTTGGGAGTTAAGGCACATTCACAGCAAGAATGATAACTATAACGATGACTAAAGACAATGACTATAAAGTTTACAATAACAATATAAGGATGACTATTATTATTAAATGCTTTAAATTCGAATGGATTCTGATTGGCTGTCGATGTTTTTATCGTTTATCAGCTGGAAGAAAATCGCTCTATAAGTGATTCCTGTGAAATCGTTCCTCTGTGCCGTTATAGTTGCGGTGTGGAAAATGATCTTAGATTTGGAGCGATCATTAAAACTTCATAGTTATAGTAGTTATTATCGCTATAGTTATCGTTCTTTAATGCACAAGGTTTGTTCTTTTCTTTTTCTGTGGTGAGTGAACCTGTACTGTAGTGTGTGGTATTTGAAAAACATTTCAGTTTTACAGAGGCATATTGAACTGTTTCTTGTCTTCGTAAAACATCAGAACTTTTGTAGAGTCACTCATTCCTGGCAAATTCAAGCGGGCCAGAAGAACCTGAAGTCTCGCAGCTCACAGGTAGTTCAAGCCACTGCATGCTAAAGTTACTCTGGAAAACTGGTGCTAATGTTCATCTGGATTGGCTTCTAATGCAGTTCTAGACCAGATTGAATGGAGAATAATACAGGTAACGGACCATCTCAGTATCACCTCTGTCTCTTGAGCTTGGTTGCCTATGTACTCCCGCCTGATATGCATGTTTGACTCAATAAATGCTCATTTATTCACAGCACACTTATCAAAGACAGATAGGCATTTGACCTGTGATGTATTATCCAAGAACAGATATCTGTACCAATTCTTGAGCTTGTAGACCAGTAGAATAGACCAAATCCACAGTTCTGCTTCTCTTAGATGACAGGTTCTTCATGGAGGAGAACAGCTCATTCTTTCCATCTGGACGTCATTCATTCATTCATTCCACTCCATTACTTCTTGTTTTTAATGTTCATTCACTGTATCACATTGTAATTCCTCTCTAATGCAGTCAATACGAATGTAAATCACCCCATGTTAGAACTTATTAGAGGCCATTGTCTACCATGTTTTATAACCTCAAACATTCTTAACTATTGAAAAACCCCACTGAAACGTGACCGTTCACACAAGTGAATCGTGTGTCTATTTAAAAACTCTATGAAAATGGAGCATTGAGTTTTAAAGGGGCCAACTTCATGTATCTGAATACAATAAACAGCATCTTTCTGCATCCGTCTGCTGCAGTGTTATTGAGATCTCACAAGAAAGTGATGGAATAACGTTAAACAACCATTTCATTTATGATGTTAACGAGCTGGGTTTTTTTGGTAATCTATTTTACATGTAGACGTGTCTTGCTGGTCAAGTCTGGATTGATGTGAAAACAGTCAGTGCGTTTTGCTTTGTCGACATTTTACCGTGATTTCCAGAGGACCATCATGAATGTTACAAACTTTTGTTCTTAAAGCAGCAGCTTGCCTCTCTCTTTCTTTTTTTACATTGATATTTATTTTCTATTTAAGGCTTGCCTAATATGCTTAACACTTTTCAAAAGTATTTCTGATGTATTAAAGCCATGTGTGAATAATTTTATTGGTGTGTACGGTGTTACAAAAGCACATATTAATAAACTGTTGTATCTTTTATGACTCTCTAGTGTTATTTTTGCCTTTTCCGTTTACCTGAAATAATATTTATATTCATGTACGTGTGTGTGTGTGTGCATATATATATATGTATGTATATGTACACACACACACACACATCTGGCCTATAAATATACAGTAGTCAACAAAGAAAGTTCATCAAAGTTGTCCTATAAGACAAGGACGGGTATTGTTCAAAATTCATGAATAACTTTGATAAAAGATTTGGATCCACTTCAAATGTTGATTACTGTGTGTATATATATATGAGAATGAGCGCAAACAAATCATAAAATAATAATTACATTATAAATTTGTCACTTTAATATTTATCGTTGTTGAGGGCTTTTATTTTGAATTATTCTCATATATATATATATATATATATATATATATATATATATATATATATATATATATATATATATTTGTGTGTGTACGTTTGTGTCAATTTATGTAAATTAAAAAAAATAGTTTGGTGTTTTAATAATATTTATCGTTGTCGAGGGCTTTTATTTTGAAGTCCGGCTCACGCGGCCGCCATGTTCCTCTCTGGTTGCTGTGATGGAGACGAGGCGCTTTGGATTTTAAACTTTCTGTTTTAAATGTAAAAAATCCTCCGAAATACTCAATATCACACATAAAGCATCAGAGCTGTACAATCACAAGATGTTTTAAAAACACTGCAGAACTGAGGGTGTAACTTGGGGTTAGAGAACAGGTGAGGATTAAACTAATCGCGTTATATGATCAATAATTATTGGAATGATTGTATTTAATATTCGTTATTCTCGTTTAACTTCCGCAGAGTATTTACTGATAATCTACTCTTTATTTAACGTTAGTCCTTTATTGTAACGTTACTCTGTTAGCGTAGCATGTATTTTTTTTTGTTAGACATACTATAGTATAACTAAAGCCCTGTTTATATCTGCGTTTATATGCTTATTAACAAAGCATCGATTCGACCGTTTTTCTGTTGTACACAAATACCTCTACCGCTATGTTGATGCTATGAAGTGTTTATTTACTAAGCAATAATTTCAGTCGTAAGTAATTGCTATTTGAGGAACGTGCTGTATTTTCTAAAGTTTTAATTTGAAGTAATTTAGTGAGATTAATTCAAGGCCCGTGCCCGCCCCAGTGCGCGCGCTCCTGTCACGCCGCCGTCACCATGGCGACCACGGGATTGCGCATCGGAGATCAGCTGGTGCTGGAGGAAGACTATGATGAAAACTACATCCCTTCTGAGCAAGGTTATTAAACTATTATAAACTAAATGCAATGATTTTCCAGCATTGAGTGAATGTTCTGATTGCCGTAATCTCTCTTTTTGCATTGTGACATTATTTGCATGGCAATTAAGGACATATGCACATCAGAAAAAAAATTTTTGGTTGGAGTTTGTTTATAATTCTCATTACTGTCATACAGTCTTGAACAGGGTTAACTTAAACTGAAATGAAAACATTAGAAAAAAACATTTTCATTCCGTAAAATCAAATATAAAAGAAAATGGCTTGGCTAGAAAATGGCTAGGCTAGAAAAAAGACTTGGCTAGTACTCATCGTTACATCGTTAGTCAACGTTATATCGTTATAGTCAATGTTATATCATTAGTCATTGTTACAGTCAAGGTTATAGTCATCGTTATATCGTTAGTCAACGTTATATCGTAATAGTCATCGTTACAATCAACGTTATTTTGTTATAGTCAACGTTAAATCATTATAGTCATTGTTATATCGTTAGTCAACGTTATATCGTTATAGTCATCGTTATATTGTTACAGTCAACGTTATAGTCATCATTATATCATTTGCTAAAATTATATCGTTATAGTCATCGTTATAGTCATTGTTATATCGTTATTGTTACAGTCAACGTTATAGTCATCATTATATCATTTGTCAAAATTATATCGTTATAGTCGTCGTTATGGTCAACGTTATATCGTTAGTCTAATGATATAACAATGACTAACGACATAACGTTGACTATAGCAATGACTAGCCTATAACGATGACTATAACGATATAACTGACTAACGATATAACAATGTCAAAGTTATATTATATAGTAGAACTTCATGTTCTTTATGTTTCTTGTTTCTTTTTATATTAAACTTGACAGAATCAGTCTTCATGTATTTATTAATTAATATTAAACAGGTTAAAGGCCCGTTCACACCAAGACTGATAACTATAACGATAACTAGATTAGTTATTGCTATAAAGTTATTTTGATTAATCAAGATTATGAGCCACATGAATTGATGTGCACCGATAAATAATTTATATTAAACACTGCAATATTCCATAAAAAAGCACGAATTGTCCGTTTTGATTTGATGGTGACTGTAAGTGCTGAAGGCCATGTGTGTGTGTGTGTGTGTGTGTGTGTGTCAGAGATCAATGAGTACGCCGCCGAGATCGGCATCGACCCGCAGCGCGAGCCGGAGCTGCTGTGGTTGGCCAGAGAGGGGATGGTGGCGCCGCTGCCCGACGAGTGGAAACCATGGTAAAACACACTTCCATTATAACACACACACACTCTGATTCACATGTTATTATTTCTGAGACCTTAAACCTTCAGTCCCGTCCATCTGGGGTTTCAGAGGAACGTATTCAAATAATGTAAAGGCTACGTAAGTACATTATTATAAATTTTTATTCGGTTGCTCTTTTATAGCTCTTGAGACTCTCTGAATTTTTGATGTTTTTTTTTTATTAATGCACAGTGTGAACTTTACCTGTGATATTCATCTTAATATGTCTTAGGAGAAAAAAAGTCAAATATTGACATGCAGTAAGAGAACAGAGCGATGAAATGAATGTGATGATTAGATGAGAAATGTTTGAGTTCACACGCGCTGCATTTAGACTGTAACTCTTCATGCACAGATCACATCTTCTGACCCGCCTGTTTACATTCACTTCAGACAGGACTGAGTCTGATATCTGTGTTTACATTAATTCCCACCCAAAATGATTATGGTGATCGGTTTACTCTGCACATGGTTTTGAATCGGCGTGGTATTAAAATTATTTAAATAACTCATGTCGGTGGTCATGATTATTTGCCAGCATGGACAAGATAACAGCTGTCAAGACTCATGAATGTTTGCAGCGCAAAATCTGACCGAACAGAACAGATATATAGTCCTGAAATAATTTTTGTTTGTCTACAGATCTAGAATTCTGAAGTGAATAAATTGTTTTTTAAATTATGAATTCGAATGAATTAACCCGAGCGAGAGAAAGAGAGTGAGAGAGTAACCTAATAGTGAAGCTTGTTGGTTTGATTACAGTGAAGTTATCACCTCATTGCTGATAAATATGTAGGTTTCAGTAGCGAAGCGGTTTTATTCATAAAACTCACGGGCAGAGTTTGAAAACCAGCTCCTGAATGTTTCTGTGTTCGCGCAATTACTTTTCTTTACAAAAATAAATCTAAAGTTCCTTGATAACAAGCTTTGAGCTTGGAATATGTGTGTTTTTTATAGTCTATGGTTTAGACCAGGGGTGTCCAAACTCGGTCCTGGAGGGCCACTGTCCTGCAGAGTTTCGCTCCAACCCTGATAAACTCTCCTGCCTGTAGCTTTCTAGTAATCCTGAAGACATTGATGAGCTGGTTCAGGTGTGTTTGATTAGAGTCCCAGATAGATATAGCAACCATCAAAATAATGTTAATGTGTCAATGTTAACTGTATTGAATCAACATCTCTTTTGCTCCAGCAATTAATGTTGAATTTTTTTCCAAATTTCATCCATTAATCAAAGGTGATGGCGTTGAGTAAATGTTACAATGTGATGTTGGTTCAACATCATGCCTGCACTCTCAGAAAATGAATCACAACAACTATAACTGAATTAAAGCCACACACCCTGAAGTTAACTGCAAATAAAATATTTTTTTGAGAATTAACAGAGGTGTAGTAGTTGATGTTTTAAAATGTTTAGTCACCATTTTTGTGATCATTGTTTGCTTTAGTTGGATAGTTTGACTCTTGGATTTTATGTGAGTTTCTGGTCTCTGTAACAGTGTTTACCAAAACATAATTTGTTGCAAAGAAAGCCAGAAACAAAGATTATCAGGTGAAACAGTTTTAGCATAATTAGAAGTGGAATAGTTCACTAATTTTCCACCTCAACAAAAGTGGACATTGCTTTCTTGCAACAGATCAAATGTTCAGAATTGTGATTTTTAAATACATAGTTGGAATTTTCTTTTTTAAACACAGAATCTCAATCTCAACAATGGTGACATGCTTTATGCAGCAATGCATGCTGGTTTTATACTATGGTGGCTCCCAACATGCATTGCAGCATGAAGCATGTCACCATTGTTGAGATTCATACACTGATTCTTGATGTCTGGATGTGTATCTAAAAAAAAAATTCCTTTAATGTATTTTAAAAACCAAAATTCAGAATGTCTGATCTGTGCCAAGAAAGTATTGTTTGTGAATATAATTTTTTAATAACAAATTACCACTTCAGAGGTTAAATAGTGAATTATGATGCTGAAATCTATTCCAACTGATTATCTTAGTTTCTGTTTTTCTTTGCAATAAATTATGTGTTTCAGTACACACTGTTGCAAAGATCACAAACTCACATAAAAGCCAAGAGTCAAACTGTCCAACTAAAGAAACACTGATCACCATAATGGTGACCAAACATTTTAAATAAAAAATCAACATCTAAACTCTGTTAATTGTCAAAAATACCTTCTGCTGAGATCTTGAGATATGTATTGTCTTCTTTTATTTGCAGTTGATTTCAGGCTGTGTGGTTGTAAGTCAGTTATAGTTGTTGTGTTTCATTTTCTGAGAGTGCAAACATGATGTTGAACCAACACCACTTTGTAACAATGATTCAGTGCCATTACCATTGATTTTTGGATGAAATCTTAAAAAAATCTACATTAATTGTGGGAACAAAAGTGATGTTGAATAACAAATGTACACATTAACATTGATTTAACATTATTTTGATGGTTGCTATATCTATCTGGGACTCTAATCAAACACACCTGAACCAGCTCATCAATGTCTTCAGGATTACTAGAAAGCTACAGGCAGGAGAGTTTATCAGGGTTGGAGCGAAACTCTGCAGGACAGTGGCCCTCCAGGACCGAGTTTGGACACCCCTGGTTTAGACATAGGTCAGATGTCCAGATATCGGATATGAATCGATTTAAGTGTGTGTGTGTGTGTGTGTTCAGTCAGGACATCACCGGTGAAGTCTACTACTTCAACTTCTCCACGGGTCAGTCCACGTGGGATCACCCCTGTGACGAGCAGTATCGCCAGCTAGTGGTGCAGGAGCGCGAGCGCACACAACACAGCAGAACCGCTCCGCCCGCGGCCAACGCTGCCGTGGGGAAGGACAAGGAGAAGGAGAAGAAGAAGAAGAAAGACAAGAAGAAGAAGAAGGAGAAGAAGAAAGACCCGGAGGGAGTCAGAGCTCCAGGGGTGAGTTCTTTTCAGAACAACGTGCTGAGAGAATAAATGACACTTTAAAGGTGCTGTATGTAAGTTTTTGACTGTACTAAAGCATAAAAATACCATATGTTTGCAGAAACATGCTGAGTTCACATACTTGTGTCTCTGAAAAACACTTCAAAGCCAGTTATTCTGCTTTGAAATGTGCGTTTTGTGTTGGAATGTCTGTTTTTGTTTTGGTCTGTGTGACTCCGCCCACTGCCAGTTCACCCGATAGTGTTTCAACCATAGATATCCATAATAAAGGCTAGATGTCTTACGGCGGAGTCTCTATCGTCATCACTGGTGGCCATCTTGTCACAGGCAAGCTTTCTGGCGGGCTCTGTGGTGCCTGATGTAAGATGAGTGATCAGCACGAACACAAATACTCTTATCTCGTTGAAATCTTGACGGATTTACAAACGGTTTGGTTTCTTACAAACGTTATTAACGTGGCTATAATTCTGGATGATTATTTATTGATACACTTATTATTCATAAGTGTGCAGTGTCATAACTACATCTCTGAAGTTTATAACAAACCAAACCGTTTGAAAATCGGTAGAAAATTGAGCAAGTTATGGTTATTTAAAAAGTACATGCACCATTAAAACACAATGTTACGAGTGAGCAAGCCGCTTGTGACAAGATGGCCGCCAGGTGCGGACGTCCACCTCCATTGGCCAGCAGCGCGAACGAGACATCTAGCCTTTATTATGTATATCTATGGTTTCAACACCGTGGATTGCCAGTTGTTGGAAAACACAGCATATTGCAGCCAGCAAACAAACTGGGTCAGAGATCGCAGATTCTTCCCGACCTAAAAAGCATCTGCATCAATCTAAAAATCTCTATGAACGGGAGAATATTAAAACGCGGATAAATCAACTCAAGTGTGTAAGTCTCTAGGGCTTTCATTGATAATTGCACTCGCTCCGGTTGCTTGTCCTCAATCTGGAAACCCGTGTGAGCGTCGAGTCTGAGGAGGCGGGGAAACTACGATCTCTGATATTTTGAATTTGAACTGCAGTACCTATTTCAACCACTAGCTGTCAATCTTACAGATTGCACCTTTAAAGGAGCATATAGACGTTTGGGGTCGGTGAGATTTTGAAAGTTTTTAAAAGAGTCTCTTGACCTGTTGATCTATCTATATATTTGATCAAAAATGTTATTAGGATTTAAATCAGCTGTTTTCTATGTGAATATATAGTAAAGTGTAATTTATTCCTGTGATCAAAGCTGAATTTTCAGCATCATTACTCCAGTCTTCAGTGTCACATGATCCTTCAGAAATCACTCTTGTGTGTGTGTGTGTGTGTGTGTGTGTGTCAGATGTTGGCTCCTCTCGCTCCTCTGCGGGGTCTGTCTGAGGCTCCTGTCACTCCTCTCAGAGGGTCTCTGGGCGTCTCATCTGGACTCCAGCCGCTTAAATCCTCTCTAGGGGTAAAAAAAGTTTGAACTTCTCATTTGTGCTTCATTAATGGAGCTTCTGAATAAGTTTTAGTTATGATTTATGAATATTAAATGTTCTTTTGTCACTGGTGTGCATCAGTCTGTCGTGTCAAGCTCCACTGCTTTCAGAAGTGCTGAGGAAGACGAGGAGATCTCAGAGGAAGAGGTGAATCTGAAATACACACACACACACACACACGCACACCCCTGAACGCTAATACATGATGATGCACTGAACGCTAGATGTAATCTGTTATGTATGTGTGTGTGCGTGTGTGTGTGTGTGTTTAGAGGCCGCTAGATTCAGTCGGACTGCTGAAGAACCTCCACCTGGATCTGGATGCTCTGGGAGCGGGACTGCAGTATGAGGTGAACACCACAAACGCATCACATCCTGCTGGAGATCAACAGTTCAGACACGGATTCTTCTGCACATGTTAGAATACTAAACTGCTGAACTACTGTGATTTTTTATTTAATTTTTCTCAGTATTTTTTTCTTGTTTTCCTTCACAAATATCTAAAAATACTATGTGAGAAAAATTTAGTTTTACTAACAGAACTTATTAAACTCCTATATATATAATGTTGAATATAATGTATAATATGGGGGAATATTTGTGGGTCCTGATAATGCCTAATGTCATGTTACCAGTAAAAAGTGGCCTAAATTATTTTAAATATATCTTGTCAGTGACAATAAGCATATTCATCTAAAATAATTCAGTATTTTCAGCTTCAGAATCATGAATATTGTTATTCTGGTGCCTCTATTGTCCTGTGCTTTGGGTTTCCAGCACCAAATCCAATCCTATTCATTTACACCCACAATCTAACACCAAATTTATAATTTTAATCAACAGTTTATTTTTTGTTAACCTTTTATCATATGTCTTGGGGTATTGCAATAATATCGTATCATGAGTTCAGTATCGTGATATGTATCGAATCGTGACATGAGGGTATCGTTACACCCCTAGTTAGTGTGTGTTAGGGTTAGGTTATAGTATTATAGAATAAAAGTCTATGCAAAGTCCCCATTTAGACAGATGAGTAAACGTGTGTGTGTGTGTGTGTGTGTGTGTTTCAGGACAGTGAGGTCAGTGGGACAGTTCCTCCTGAAGAAAGAACAGAACCTGAACTACAGGATTTGGGTTTATCGAGGGATCACAGTCCAGAACCGCCTTCAGAGGTACCTGTCTGTCTCTCTGTGTGTGTGTGTGTGTGTCTGTCTGCCTCTCTGTCTCTCTGTGTGTCTGAATGTCTCTGTCTGCACTGTTTATCTGTGTGTCTTTGTTAAAAATACGGCTGTTTGTTTGAGGGGTTTGCATGTGACCTCACAGCCTTTCTGTCTCTCTGTGTGTGTGTCTGTGTGTGTGTGTGTGTGTGTGTCTGTGTGTGTGTCTGTCTGTGCGTATGTCTGTCTGTTTGTCTCTAACTCCATCCCTCCACTGTAAGGACTCGTTGCGTGGACGTCTCCTCCCCTCCACAGCCGCTTCATGCCCTCTGACCTCAGACGCTGCGGAAGACCAGCCGCTGATCGAAGGCATGAGTGACGGTGTGCAGGAGGAGAAACAGTCCGATGAAGAGAAGAGCGAAGAGATCGATGAGCAGATCGAGAGATTCAGCCAGACCGAGGAGAGAACCGAAGAACAGAGAGATCAGACGGAGAGTGAAGATGATGAAAACAAGCCTAGAGAAGAACAGGAGAAAGACAGTGAAGTACAGGCAGAGAGAAGCGTTTCCTGTGAAGAGGAGGAGGAAGAGAGGCTTTCAGAACACAGTGAAAGAGAGGAAAATAAACATGACACTCAGAGCGACAGAGACAGCGAGGAGATCGAGCGCTTTCAGAAGGACAGCCCTCACATAGAAAAAGGAAAAGAACAGAGGCAAGAGAAAGGCGAGATCAACAGTGAGGAAGAGGTAGAGAGAAGTGTTTCCCATATGGAGGAGGAAGAGAGGCTTTCAGAACACGGGGAAACTGAGGAAGATGAGCATAAAGAAGAGCAGAGAGAGAGTGAAGGATGCGGGATCAGCGACACTCAGAGCGACAGAGACAGCGAGGAGATCGAGCGCTTTCAGAAGGACAGCCCTCAAATGACACACTTTAAAACAGGGAAGTTTGTGCCTCAGTGGAATCCAGTGTGCAGTGAGGTAGGACTCAGTGCTCCGCCCCTGCACACAAACCCCACCCATCTCACATGCCCCGCCCCTGCACACAAACCCCGCCCATCTCACAGACCCCGCCCTGCACACAAACCCCACCCATCTCACATGCCCCGCCCCTGCACACAAACCCCACCCATCTCACAGACCCCGCCCTGCACACAAACCCCGCCCATCTCACAGACCCCGCCCTGCACACAAACCCCGCCCATCTCACAGACCCCGCCCCTGCACACAAACCCCACCCATCTCACAGACCCCGCCCTGCACACAAACCCCACCCATCTCACAGACCCCGCCCTGCACACAAACCCCGCCCATCTCACAGACCCCGCCCTGCACACAAACCCCACCCATCTCACATGCCCCGCCCCTGCACACAAACCCCACCCATCTCACATGCTCCGCCCCTGCACACAAACCCCGCCCATCTCACAGACCCCGCCCTGCACACAAACCCCACCCATCTCACATGCTCCGCCCCTGCACACAAACCCCACCCATCTCACATGCTCCGCCCCTGCACACAAACCCCACCCATCTCTCATGCCCCGCCCCTGCACACAAACCCCACCCATCTCTCATGCCCCGCCCCTGCACACAAACCCCACCCATCTCTCATGCCCCGCCCCTGCACACAAACCCCACCCATCTCACATGCCCCGCCCCTGCACACAAACCCCACCCATCTCACATGCTCCGCCCCTGCACACAAACCCCACCCATCTCACATGCTCCGCCCCTGCACACAAACCCCACCCATCTCTCATGCCCCGCCCCTGCACACAAACCCCACCCATCTCTCATGCCCCGCCCCTGCACACAAACCCCACCCATCTCTCATGCCCCGCCCCTGCACACAAACCCCACCCATCTCTCATGCCCCGCCCCTGCACACAAACCCCACCCATCTCTCATGCCCCGCCCCTGCACACAAACCCCACCCATCTCACATGCCCCGCCCTGATTCAATTAAGTAACACCACTGTGTGCTTGGAGACGCACAACAGTTCTGTTGCAGCTTTACTACAGAAACTGACAATATTGTGTCTAAAATGTAATCCAATATTAACTTCTTGTTTATTGAACTGTTGTATAAAATCAATATAATTTGCATTCATACTGATATTGGAGAAAAACAGCATTCTAGCTTGTGTGATATTACTTAACTACACTATATTGCCAAAAGTATTGGGACACCCTGACTGACCGTGAGCTTCTCGTTCAACATCAGTGCCTGACCTCACAAGTGCGCTCCTAGAAGAATGGTCAAACATTCCCATAAACACACTCCTAAACCTTGTGGAAAGCCTTCGCAGAAGAGTTGAAGCTGCTATAGCTGGAAAGGGTCCATATTAAACCCTACGGATCAGGAATGGGATGTCATTAAAGTTCATGTGCATGTAAAGGCAGGCGTCCCAAAACTTTTGGCAATATAGTGCATATCATATAGAAATTCGAAAAGCAACCTACTAATATTCATCACACAGTGTAAGCGAGCGCTATCAATATGTGTGGTTTTGCAAAGCGAGTGGGATACTCGATAAAGTCAGCTTCCACATCGTCAAAACAACATCCCTACATATACAGCACTGGAGTGAATTGCCTCGCCACAATCTGATGTATTTTTACAAGGCTTTAATTTATTCAGTGATTCATTTGTTCATTGATTTGTTTGTTCCTTCTATAGCATTTGTTCAGTGTTTGTGTCTTCATTCATTTATTGATTCGTTCGTTCATTCTGTAGCTTTGTTCAGTGTTTGTGTCTTCAGTCATTGATTTGTTTGTTCGTTCAGTGATTCGTTCGTTCATTCTGTAACGTTGTTCGGTGTTTGTGTCTCAGCGTCCAGAGCTGCAGAGAGGAGGCGTGTCTCAACACAGTCATGTGACATCACACATGGGAGGATAAAAGCTCCCTTGAGGAACATAGTTTGATGTGTGTCTTATCTCATTATTCATGAGCCAATCAGAGCTCTTCTCTGCAGCAGAGCTGAAACTCCCAGCATCCTCCTCTCCCACATTGGCTCACTGCTCTGTGTGTGTGTTATCAGTGTGTTAATGCTGCTGTACGAGTGTGTGATGTCATATCCTGTGCCGTGACAGGAATCTGAAGCTGGTGAAGCAGCAGCGGCATCGCTCTCATCCGCTGATGATTTGCAGGTGGGACTTCATCCACACACACACACACACACACACACACACATTCATGCATTTAACAGACATGTCTGGATTGTGTGTGTCGCATAATTTCACTCTTCATGTTTTTCCTCAGGCTGGTTTTCACTCCAAACTCTCAGAGAATGTGTTTGATCTGCTGGATCTGACGCCTGCAGTGGTAACACACACACGCACACACACACACACACACACACACACACACACACACACACACACACACACACTCGCACACTCACACACACACACACACACACACACACACACACACACACACACACAGACACACACACACCCCCACGTGTACACACTCTCACAAACACACACAAACACACCTCTACAGGTTTAAAGGCTCATTCTGTCTCTCTGTGTGTGTGCGTCTCTCAGGACAGGAAGGAAGAGGAGGGAGAGGCAGACGTGGACAGCTGTGTGGACGTCTCTGTCTCTGCAGACAGGTGAGGATTAGGATTGCAAAATTCTGGGAATTTTCAAAGATGGAAACTTTCCATGGAAATTAATGGGAATTTAAGGGAATTAACAGGAATTTATGGGAATAAACGGGAATAAAGTGGGAATTTTCAAAGTTGAGGGTTGGCTCTTCATAGGGAACTTAAATATAGTTGAGGAAAGTATATTTTAGCATAATCTTGATTAAAACAAACAGATGCCATTCAAATACACTTGAATATCCATGCCATTCCTCAATCACATGCACATAGAACACTGCTTACTGCATGGCTATTGAGACCACACCCCCTACTGGCACTGTGCATGCCTCCATCACATGTACAGAAGCCCAAAGCACAAGACTATTGAAGGCACACATTTGAGCCTGTGGACTAAACAAAGTGAGGTATGTTTTGATGATATTATAGGGAAATATATTTATTAAATGTTTAAATTGCAAATATCACATACAAATGTATTCATCTAGTAGCAATGCTGATAAGTTAGATGCTAAATAAGCTAGCATAACTTTATTTACCACATAAGGCAGATGCTAGCTACCTCATATGGCTGTTTTTCTCTGCCTCCTGCAATATGTTTTCAAGATCATTCCAGTTGTTTAGCTAGCCTTATTATTTATGTATCTGTTCATGCCATTGCATTAGTATTCTTACTAGGGTTGGACAGACATCACGATGTTTAGCCGACATCCCCCCCCCCCCCATGGTTTCCATGGTGACGCGTCATGCTTGGCACGTGATTCACCACAGCCAAAATAGCGCTGTATGACAGATTTAGCGCTTTTATTTCTAAATATTAACAAACTTGCTTACCATGTCATAAACTATCTTCTATTCCGATTCTCAAATATGTGTAAGTGAGTTTGTTTTGTAGTTTAAAAAACCTTTATAAGTTATCTTGATCTGTAACGTGAGATGGGCGCCGTGTTTGGGCCGCAGTTCAGAGATTCCTGTCTGTTGGATTTAAGTTATTACAGCGCGTGAATTCATCAGTTTCTCCTGAAATACATGAGAGTAAGTGGCCGGTGAACTGAAAATGATTGATTACATTACAATGAATTCCCAGTTAGTTCCCCTAAATTCCCATTAATTCCCATAATTCCCATTATTCCCATGGAAAGTTTCTAATATGGAATATTTCCAAAATTCCCCAGCTTAACTTCCCATGGAAATTTACCGGAAATTTTCCGCACCTTTGCAACCCTAGTGAGGATGATGATGATGATGATGTGACTCGCGAGTGTATTATTCATTCAGTGTGTGTTTCTCTTAGGCGCACACTATTTCTCAGCATCACGACGTCACGCTTTTTGAAATACAGATTGAATGGCAAGTCAAAACATGCAGTGATGGCAAACTACGACTCTCAGCTGGATAAGGCAAACTATAATAAAAATTAATTATATTAAAATTGACAAACATGCCTTGACCTGACTGCATATACTACAGCACACGGATCCATTCAGAATTACTAAACACAGCAACATACACGTGACAAATCAAAACATTGTCCAGAATGCACGTGGAAACAATGTGCTGAAATGCGTCTGTGCATAAATATAATGATTTATTTTGTTTATGATGATTTACCTTGATTACAATCCGCATCCATCTGAACTTTACTAGCGAGGCGCAGGTTTGCTTTATCCAGCCGAGTAAAGTAGTTTGCGTATCATCTGGCCATAAAGAGGTGGATGTTTTGATGTTCAGTCTGTATTTCACACAGAAATGATCAGGAAATGACAGAGCTCGTGTTTTAAAGCGAAACACACACTGAAATGAATAATTCACTGGCCGTGAGTCTCTATTCTCTCTGCTAAATACTGTAACAAATGTATTGCTAATGGTTAGTTCATGTTAGTAGATACATCAACTAATGAACCTTATTGTAAAGTGTTACCGAATTTTCTCCCTGGGATTAATGTGTGTCTTATCTCAGGCGTCTGCAGTCCCAGTCCGACGTCTCCTCGCCCGCTGATGACATCAGCAGAGCATCACATGACCAGAGACCGCCGACGGCCCGCGGCCGAACCCACACCAGTGATCAGGAGAAGAGACGAGAAGCTCAGGAGGATGAAGAGCAGCGTGAGCGGGATGAAGAGGAGAGAAGACGGATGGAGGAGGAGAAGAACAGACTGATGGAGGAGGAGAAGACCAGACTGATGGAGGAGGAGAAGACCAGACTGAGGGAGGAGGAGAAGACCAGACTGAGGGAGGAGGAGAAGACCAGACTGATGGAGGAAGAGAAGAACAGACTGATGGAGGAGGAAAAGACCAGACTGAGGGAGGAGGAGAAGAACAGACTGAGGGAGGAGGAGAAGAACAGACTGATGGAGGAAGAGAAGAACAGACTGATGGAGGAGGAGAAGAACAGACGCATGGAGGAAGAGAAGAACAGACTGATGGAGGAGGAAAAGAAAAGACTAATGGAGGAAGAGAAGAACAGATTGATGGAGGAGGAGAAGAACAGACTGATGGAGGAGGAGAAGAGACGAGAAGCTCAGGAGGATGAAGAACAGCACAAGTGTGATGAAGAGGAGAAAAACAGACTGAGACTGCAGCTGCTCAGACAAGCGCTGATGAAGGACGAGGAAGACGAGGAGCGCCGGATGAAGGAGGAGAGCGCCGAGCAGCTGAGGTCAGTGACTGCTGCATTATGGGTCCCTGTGCTGTAGAAGTGTGTGTGCCAACAAAACACGAGCAGTTTGGCACCAAAACTTTCCAAGTTCACATACCCACAAATCACGTCATCGTGTGTGTGTGTGTGTGTGTGTGTGTGTGTTTTAGGGTTTTGAAGGAGCAGATACTTAAAAACAGACGAGATGAGGAGGAGCGATTAAACAACGACACGCACACACAACTACAAAATCTAAGGTACTCACACACACATAAAACATACACACACTATATCAACATCAACGCACACAGACACACTATATCAACATCAGCACACACACACAAATACAACAGCTCAGGTAATACACACAGACACACATACACACACTATATCAACATCAGCACTCACAAACACAAAAACACACACACACACACTACGCGTCCGTCTCGTGTGTGTGTGTACAGATCTGAGAATGAGGTGAGACTCCAGGAGCTGCGCTCAGAGCTGGAGGCGGAGCAGGAGAGGGCGGAGACTCAGAGGAGGCGGGGTCTCGAGCGCCTGAGGGAGGAGTTAGAGGAGGAGCTCCAGGCAGAGAGGAGGCGGCTACAGGACAAGAAGGAGGAGCAGCTGACCTCCATCAAAACACAGGTGTGTGTGTGTGTGTGTGTGTGTGTGTACACGTTTAGCTCATTGTAATGCTCATTGCTCATCTTTTTGTAATGGGTAGGTTTGGGGGGTGGCTTGGTTTAGGCCATAGAAAATTGCATTAATCAATAGAAGTCTATGCAATGTTCTCACTGATATAGTGAAACAAATGTGTGTGTCTGTGATTAACGCTCTGTTGTTTTTTTGTCAGGCTAAACTGAGTGACTCTCAGAAGAATTCAAGGAGTCCACGACCAGAACAACCTTTAGCCGAGTACCAGAGAGAGGTACAACACACACTCACTCACTCACTCACTCACACGCACACACACACCTTAGACCCACTCTCACACACACACACACACACACACACACACACACACACACACACACACACACACACGCACACTCACACTCACTCACTGACAGACAGACTCACTCACTCACTCACACTCACTCACACGCACACACACAAACACACACCTTAGACCCACTCTCACACACGCACACACACACACACACACAAACACACACCTTAGACCCACTCTCACACACACACACACACACACGCACACACTCACTCACTCTATCACTCACTGACAGACTCACTCACTCACTCACACTCACTCACACGCACACACACAAACACACACCTTAGACCCACTCTCACACACGCACACACACACACACACACACACATTTAGTGCACTTGGACTCCGCCCATGCAAGGTCACGTTCATCTGCATAGACCAACGCTACTTTTGCGTCATCGAAGGGTAACGCCCCCTTTTGGGGGAAAACAAACGGATTCCCCTGAGAACAGAACTCGCTCTAGATCTGCTAAGTTTCTTGATAGCAAAAATGGCACAAACATACACACTCTCTTTGCCGGCCGAGGACCGTGAGCGGTATTTAAAGAAGAGCTGGATACGGGGTTACAGAGGTGTCCCTTTGAACTGGTCGAAAACTGGATTAATGACCCACGCAGTGGCCAAATATGGACTATTCAGACATCCAACGTTACCACTATCTCGTGGAATCACCAAGTAAGTAGCCTATTTTTTTATTATTTTTTTTCATTAACACTCACAGTATGACAAACTAGACGATGAGGCCATGTCACTTGGATCATATTTAACTTGATTTAAGCTATTGACATAGTTTTGTTGTCGACTAGCTTTACTATACTGTTGAAATAGTGGCCGGCTAGGACTAAAGTGGACTTGGCTGGTTTCTGCTTGTGTCTAGAAAGTGCTAGGACTTTGAAAGTTGTAAAAAGGTTTACAGTGTACGGCAAAATATGTATAGGACCAATGTATGTATCTATGGGGCTATCAAATTGGATGTTGTGACATTACGCTATCCTATCTAGCCTAGAAGGCTTGATCTATTACTGCCGTTCGTGTTGTTACATGTAGCCCAGAGCAGTGCTCGTCGAAAAGTCATATAACAGTTAGGCTTAAAGCACTTTCTAGACACAAGCAGAAACCAGCCAAGTCCACTTTAGTCCACCTAGCCTGCCACTATTTCAACAGTAAAATCAGTTAACAGCCAAGGTAGCGTGCCTAGTGATAGCTAATCACGTTAGCTGCTAGCAGCTTCGTCTTTCTAACTAGTATAGCTAGTCGACAACAAAACTATAAATCAAGTTAAATATGATCCAAGTGACATGGCCTCATCATCTAGTTTGTCACTGTGAGTGTGTTAATGACAAAAAAAATAGGCTACTTACTTGGTGATTCCACGAGATAGTGGTAACGTTAGATGTCTGCATATTTGGCCACTGCGTGGGGTCATTAATCCAGTTTTCGACCAGTTCAAAGGGACACCTCTGTAACCCCGTATCCAGTAGCTTATTTAAGTTTGTGCCATTTTTGCTATCAAGAAACTTAGCAGATCTAGAGCGAGTTCTGTTCTCAGGGGAATCCGTTTGTTTTCCCCCAAAAGGGGCGTTACCCTTCGATGACGCAAAAGTAGCGTTGGTCTATACACTTTTGAGAGCCACGCCCACATCCAATCAACAACTGGTGCACACCTACATTCATTATTTTTTGATAAGCTGTTACACCCTGATATACTGTATGTCATGATAAAGAACCTACTTCTACTGCAGTTACATCGTGAATTGAATTCTGCAGCAGTAGCTGGAGTGTGTGTTAATGTGTGTTAATGCGTGTTAATGTGTGTTAATGTGTGTTAATGCGTGTTAATGTGTGTTAATGTGTGTGTGTGTGTGTGTGTGTGTGTTTTAGCTCACAGATGTCCTGCAGGAAGTTCGTGAGGAAGTTGAGAGAGATCACAGGAAGAAACTAGAACAACTGAAGGAGGAACATCGACATGAACTACAGAACCTCAGAGAAACACACCTGGAGCGGGTACAACACA